CGGGGCGAGCTGCGGGCGCTGCTCGTCACCGAGCCCCTGCAGCCCTCCCTCGCAGGCCCGGGCGTCGAGTTCGCAGTGCACTCCGAGGGGCAGTACCGCGGTGCCCAGCGCTGGATCGCCGGGAGGGTAGAAGCCGTGATGAAACGCTTGCAGAGCAGCAACGTGAAGCTGTTACTGTCGAGCGCGAAGCAAGGGGAAGTAGTTACCTACTATGCGAAGTTACACGGTATCTCTGTTGTAGAGTGTCTATCAGAAGAAGAAATGGCCCTTATCGGTGAAATCACCGGTGTCTCGCCTTACACACCTTTAGGTGATGACATGTGCGGAGAAATAACTGAGACTGCAGTGGCAGCGTTTTGCCCGCCCTTGCTGCTCGGCTCCAGGAGATGTGTCCACGTTGGCCTCAGCAGTGTGTGTGGCTTTCAGCCCCATTGCCTGATCCTGTGTGGGCCGGTCGATGGGGTTAATGAGCAGCATGCCGAGGCTTTACAAGGGGCGTTGACAATGCTGCAGCAGCTATTCAAAACAGTGGAGCAGAGGGAGGGATGCGGTGCAGAAGGTGAAAGCCAGAACGAAGCCTCAGGTGTTCGCAGTTGGCATTCTTCAGTTACTCAGAAAGTAGTAGAATATACTTTTTGTAATAGTAATCAGGTTTCGAAAAGTCAACTGCAAACACTTAAGGATGAAACAGAAACAAAAATTTTAGACCCTGATAAAAGTGATGCACTTGTGGACAACCAAAACAACCACAGCACTGCTGTGTTAGTGGCACATAATGCTGATACAGGTACTGCATCTGAGCACCTGGACGTTGGCGAAGGTCTTGAGGAAACAAGTTGTAATACAGTTCTATTTGAACGGGAAGAGAGTTGTGTAAGTATTGCACAGGGTAATTCCAGCTCCCTCATAGAAGCAGGATCAGTTTTGCCAGTAGGAGGTTATTTTGAAGTCCTGTTACATTATTATATTCACCACTATGCAAAACAGTGCCGGCAGTCAGAGGTTGCTGTCGTGTCTAGTGTGGTTGCTGATGCTCTGCTAAGTATTCCCAAGTGCTTGTACAGGACAGCAGAAGGAGACAGCTTTACCCATTTCTATCTCAAAACCATTAATTCACTCAGAAAAAATGAGCCACTGCCGATGAGCAAGGAAGGTGTGGAGTCAGTGTATTGCAAATACCAATTAGTCATCTCAGTTCTCTATTGTGCTGCAGAGCTTCTCTCCATAGACTTAATAATTGATATTAAGCGGCCGCTGCAAAAAATTGAGGATTGTGACTCAGAAGATGAACTTTGAAATCATTAATAAAGAATATTTTTGATTATGTGTTGTTTTCCTATGTCTTGTCAAGTGGATGTGTCTCGAAATTCAGTGCTAGAGACTAAAAGATGTCATTTTAGGCCTAGAGCCCTAATGTGCTGCATCTCTCAGAAGAAAAGGAAGAAAAAGGCTGACCAGCTGTGATTGTGGAAAACTGGGTTGTGAGCAGCACCAACTTGACATTTCAACCATGAGGAATCCTCCATCCCACTGGCTGCAGATGATGTGCAGTGCAGTCTCCATCCACGTGCAGAGGATCCTGTGTACGTCCTAGCTGAGGGTGAACTTTGCCTCTGTTGGTGGCTTGGGTGTTTTACGAGCCAGATGTGATTAGTTTTCTTGGCATTTTAAAAGTTGCCAGTATAACATGAGCCACTGAACTTGCAAGTTACAAATAAGAGGTGGATTAAATGTTACTGTAAATAAAAATATTTTTGTATTTATTGTGGTTTTCATTATAAAGGGAAAAATATAACTCTTGTTAGTCTCTTCAGCTTTGAGGCAGTATGCTGGTTTTGGCTGGGGCAGAGCTAATTTTCTTCACAGTAGCTAGTAAGGGGCTGGATTTTGCATTTGTACTT